AAATTGTATTTTTCATTTTACATTGTCAAGGTGAAAATCTTTACATCCTCCTTTAGCTATTATTAAATAGTTTGCAGTGCTTTGTCTGTGGTTGGCACTAGAAATTGAAAACCACTAAGCAGCATTTAGATTACTGGAACTAGCCAATATTCTTCACAGCAGATTCAAAAAGAATCTAAGAGCCCCTATCATGTAACTGACACACACCAATGCACTTCAAGGAGTCTTTCTTGCAGTCCATCTCTTGCTCAAAACCAGGCCACATATTTACTTACTTCCTATTTGAACTATGTCTTTCATGGAAATTTTTTTTTTCATTTTTCCTGAAGTTCCTGATTGCCTCTCTTTTTCATCATTGGTAGGAAAAAAAAAAAAAGTGCCTTCTATGCATTTCCCTAACCTCCTCCAAATCCCTTCTCATTCCATTTATAGGAATCTTTCTATTCTTCTTTTTGAAGGTTGATGACCTCCAATCTAACTAGCAGGTTGCTCTATTTTTGGTTCTTAAAGCTTTTTCATAGCTTTTCGTCTTTACTGTGGTTATTAATCACCTTCTGTTTTTTATTGTTATCTTTTTATCACAAATTTAATGTCTTGCAGTGTCACAATAATACTCTTTCTCTGTGGAATGTCCCTTTCTCACACCATCCTCAGTGACCTCTTTCCTGGAACCTTCCATTCTTCTGGTCTAATGAAGATTGCTCTCAGGTGGGCTGAACTATTTGATCCTGGAGTTGCTTCTCGTGACTGCCCTGAATTAAAGCCATTGTTTCCTGGATTTTATATCTTCTTTTTTGGTTCCCTCTCTTGTTTTGTTGAAATATATCCTCAAACAACTTTCTTAAAAATTTGAGTAAACTTCCTTGGATCTGGCATCTTAAGGCCTCATATATAAAATAAAGGCAATAAAGGCATTGAACCAGATGACCTCTAATGACTGTTCTAGGGGAATAATTCTAGTCAATATGCATTCATAAATAATATATGGAGAAATTTTAAATTTCAGTAAAGAACATACATTTATATAGACAAAGAATAAATTCTTGAAACAGTAACATCAATTAAAAAGTCAACAATGCAAAAAGATAGGGCATGGTTGGTTAATCATCAGTCGGAATCTCAGACCTGAAGGAAATAGAGAAGTTGAGAGAGACTGTGGTCCTCTTACTGGGAAAGTAAGACTAGTTAAGTGTCAAGGAGTAGTCAGTATATTTTCTATAAATTAAATACTTATGGATACTCAACAGTAAACCTATGGCCAATGTTAGTCTGATGGAAAGGTTAATGGGAAATTGAAGCTCTCCTCCCACCTAGTTTCACTGTCTGAGTTATCAACAATTTCATTTCATCAAGTCAATCAAGTAAATATAAATTTTCAGTATGAAAGTATAAGTTTGCCTCTGACCAATAGATAGGCTCTCTGGCCAATGAAAGTGAACTTTCATTACATGTATGAGTATTGTGTGTACACGTGTGAATGTCCTACTTATTGGAATAGGAAGGTACCTCCAGTGGGGGAGGCTCTCTTTACCACCATCCATTTTAAAAATGTGCTCTATATTTTTCCAATGGTGAGTCAGAGTAATCATAAATCACTTCTTCACATTCACTCCCCAGGAAAAGAGACATCCCCCTTCTGGTGGGACTGGGATCCAGCACAACTGCTTGGACCTCAGGAAATTGAAAGGCCTCAGGAAATTGAAAAGACTGGGCTTCTCCCCAGCAGATCCTGCAGACTGGATGGATCTGAGATACAACATAAAAGGAAAAAAATAAGACTTCATTCAGCCAATGCTTGCACTCTAATCCAATTTGCAAATATGGAGTGGACTTGCAGGAAAGGAAATTTCTAGGAAACAGGCCCATGATCTGACCTGAATACTGAGGATGAAGTGAGAGTGGCAAATGTGTGGGGACATGGGATAGATTTTCTCAGCAAGGTCTATATAATAGATCTTATAGTGCTTCCTGCAGAGACTTTCCCTGAGTCCCCTGCCCTCATCCGGGAAGAAAAAATTGCTGCGAAAATACTGTTCCTGCTGCCATCACCATAGCACTACCAAATTTAAACAAGATCACACCCATTTTTCTCAACAGTTTATGACATCTTCGCTGAATTATTCATTCTCACATCCCCAGTACCCAGCATGTGGTGGGTGCTCTGTGTTTGTTGAATGAATGAGTGAATGAACTGAAAAAAGTACATTTCATCAAAGAACAAAGTCAGACATGAATATTCAGTTTTCACAGGAGATTTGAGCAAGCACAGAGGAGAAGTAGATCCAGCCTGAAGATGAAGAGAGGATTTCTAAGAGCTAAGGGCCCTCACACCACTCTTGGGAGAGGTGGGGGTGGGGGGTGGGAAGGGGGAGCCGGAGGGGATGGTCACGGGCAAGTTTTGCCTGAGCTGCTCTGTTGCCCATGCTGTGACGTCCTGGGCAGAGGAAGGGAGGAGACAGATCAAGTACTCCGGAGGAAAGCTCCGAAAGTAACCCTCCACCCATACCCAGAGTTGGGACAATGCTCAGCTCTTTAGAGAAAGAAAAGCCCACCTTCTGGGGGGGGGGTGCGGGGAGGGCACTTTGTACACACCAGAACTTGGGCTTCTGGTGGTCTCATGTCATCCTCCCAGCAACTGGGAGAGACAGGCACCCCTTCTTACAGACGGGAAACACTAGCAAGCTCAGGAGTCCCCATTTGGCTTTGCAGAGGGTCAGAAGCCTGACAAAATGAAGGAAAAAAAAAGCGCCTGGATTCCATCATTGAAAGTCTGTGTGTACACTTGTTTTATTACTGCTATAATTTGTTTATCTTCATTTCATTTTCTCCTGGCTTCTTAGAAAGGTTTCATAAAAAACCCATAGGATTCTGATCTAACAAAGGGAAGTGAATGTATAGAGGGAGAGAAGCTGGTTCCCCAGGGCAGGGGCAGGAGCTGGGGGAGTAGCAGCAGGGCTAAGGGCTGAAGAGGTGAGGAGTGCGGCCCATGCCCTAGGTGCTCTGTGTTTGTTGAGGGAATAGTGAGCTGAAAAAAATGCATTTCATCAAGGGGCAAAGTCAGACATGAATGTTCTGTTTTCACAGGCACTTTGGGCAAGCAGGGAGGACCTGAAGAAATGGATCTAGGTTGAGGATGAAGAGAGGATTTCCAAGAGCTAGGACCACTCACTCCACTCCTGGGAGGGGAAGTGGGGGAGACGACCTGGACCGCTTTGTTGTTTATACTTTGACATCCAGTGCAGGGGAAGGGAGGAGACAGATCAACAAGTACTCAGGAGAAAATCACCCCCAACCCGTGCCCAGAGATGGGGCCAGAGGGCAGCTGCTGCCCGGGCGTGGGGTTCCCCACAGGTGTCCCTCCTTCACCCAGGAGTGGTTCCCTCACTTGGTGAAGCCCCTTTCACCTGGTGCCATTGTGTCTGTTTCCTCAAAAGACCATCAAGTGTCATTTACTTCACCAATTTTTAAAAAAGTGTAATCAAGATGCAGCACTGCTCACGATCTTCACATCCCAGGAGAGAGGGAGAGTCTGCTTTAACTCCAGCAGGTGGGAATTTGACATAACGAAATTACCCCAGCTTGTCCCCTCACTGTGTCTAAGGGTGCAGAGAGGACAGCTGAGCACTCCCAACGGGGCGGGGTGGGGGGGGGCAAGCAGCCGCATCACAGAAGGGCGAAGCCCAGCTGAAGCCCACCTGGCTTCTTGCTCTGACAGTTATGCTGCTCTGGTCACAGCTGCCCCCTCCCCGCCCCCGGGAGCAGGAAGGGAAAGGAGACATAGAAAGACACATAAGCACCAAGGGGAAAGTGAATCCATCCTGCGAGAATGGGTGAGAGGCCCCTGCTAAGCCAGCGAAGAATGAGGCCCTGAGAAAGGTCAAAGTTAAACACAAAACCACTTGCAACTGACCTCTGTTCTTGGGAACTTGTAGCCATAGGCGGGGAGCTGACTCACGCTCAGGGCAGGCTTTCTCTGGAGAGGCCACAGAGGTGGTGCCCCCCCCCCCACAGGAGCGTTGCTTTGAAGGGTGGGGACCTCTAAACAAGCAAGAACAGCTGGTGCCAAGCAGGCAAGCTGGGAGGAGGGGGAAGGTGTGCAGAGAGTTGGTGACAGGCTTAAGAAAAGGAGGATCAGGAAAAATTTCATCCCTTCCCTCTACACACCCTTCTGCACCCCATCTCTATGATGGACCTCTCTTTTAAAATTTGGGACACTAATGCCATCAGGGTTCCTCCAAGCAGTCAGTTGGATACAGAATTCCACCCGGTGCCTCCACTCTCTCAGAAAGGGAAGAGCCACGAGGGAGCCATGGGGTCACCTGTGGTCATGTGCAGTCCAAACCCACAGGCATCCAAACTGGCAAAATCACCCCCCAACTCCTTGACGCCCTACAAGAGTGCAGGCACTAGGGAAGGAGGTAGATGAGACTCTGGCCAAAGAGGTCTGGCCCCCACAGTCCGCACCCCGCGAACGCAGACAGGGCTGCAGGGAGACTCCTAAGTTTGACTTGTAGTCCCCCACCCCTTATCCAGCTCAACCCACTTCTCAGATGCCCAGAAGCTTGGTCACTGCCACGCGCGCCCCTGCGCTCCTTCTCCCAGGGTCCCCGCACCTCTCGGAGAAAGGGGGTGTTAGAAGGGTGCGCTCAGCGGAGAAAAGAAACATGATTTCGCCGCCTCTGGAGAAACCCCAGCCCTGGTCGGGGAAGCCGTCGGGTCGCAGCGTTTGGATTCTGACTTTCCCCGCAAAGTTTCAGCTCTTCCGAGCCGGCAACCTCGCCCACCCTCGGCTGGAGGCGAAAGGAGTCTGGGGAGCGCGGCCCCGCGCCTCCGTCCCCGGCGGGCGCCTCTCCGCGCGCTTCTGCCACCTGCCAGGGGGCGCTTGGAGCGCGCTAGTGCCGCCCCGAAAACCGTGGGCGCCGCCCGAGGTCGCCCCGGGTCCCTCGCCTGCCGCCCTCCTGCGGTGGGCCCGGGGCGCAGGAGCCGCCGCCGCGTCTTACCCAGTCCCGGCACGAAAGTGTTGAGGAAGAGGCAGATGACCGCCACCGGGAAGGGCATGTAGGGGATGGCGGCGCGCAGGGGGCCCTTCTTCTCGCGGACCTGCACCACCACCCCGCTGGACGAGGGCGCACCCCGGGGGTCCGCCGCCGCCACAGCCGTCTCGGCGTCTTTGTGGGAAGGCTCCATGGCCGGGGCGCTCCCCGGGAGCCGGGCTGCCGCGACGGGGACTGCCGCCCGGCGCGCAGGGAACGGGCGGCTCCGGCTCCGGCTCCGGCTCCGGCTCCGGCTCCGGGCTCCGCGCCGAGCTCAGGCGGCCCGCGCGCTCCTGTGCCGCGCCTCGCGGAGACCCCGCACTCCCGCGTCCCCACGCGCCCGCCTCTGCGCGCTCCCCGCGCTCCACACCCCCGGCGGAGGGGCGGGCAGGGCAGCGTGACACTCGGTGACAGCTCTCGACGCCCCTCCCCGCCCGGCCCTGCCCCGCCCTCTTCTCCCCCTCCTGAAAAATACCACTTAAGAATCTGGGCGACGGGAAAAAAGTAGGAGAAGACACAGTGGGAGCTGGTTGTCCAGATCCCCGGAGGTCTGGACACTCCTCGCCCTTCCCAGACAGGTGAACTGGGCTGGAGCTTGGGCCCTGGACGCCGGGAAGGAGGGGCTGAGGGGGGTCAGTGCTCGTCAGGCCACGTCCCCGAAGCCTCGCGATTGAGTCCTTTTAATTTGGAGAATGCGTTGAATGCTAAGGAGATCGGGACATCGAGGCAGGTGCCTTGCAGGTCTCCAGTTCATTCTAACTTGAATGGATTTGTTTCAAGTTACAGAGAAACAGTGATTGCTAATAAAGCTAGAAGCTTTGCAAACGGGTCTCCATAAGACTGGCTAAAATGAGACCCTCCTTTACACACACACACACACACACACACACACACTCACACACACACACACCCCACTGATGCTAAAAGCGGGGATGGGCATGGTGCGGGAGGAATGCGCCCCTTGACGGGAGGAGGGGATGTTGGGAACCATCCCTTGAACCGTCTTGGGGTACACCTGGGCCTTTTTTATGCTCGACGTGGTGGTTAAAATGTCAGCGAGGACACAGCGCCGTCTAGTGCTGATAACGCGGCAGTTGGCACAAGCAAGAGGATTCTGCAGGCAGAATCCAGCCCGCCGCGCCTGAGGCCCCGCACTGAATTACGATTTCTGAATAATGCCTCCCTCACCTCCGCTCCTGGAAAAAGTGAGCAAATGAAAGCAACAGCCTCTTATGTAAGGAAGGAAGTCAAGGCATCGGAGATAACCAGGTATTCAGCAAATCGTCTGAATAATTGGGCAGATGCCAATCTACTTCCTTTCCAGTAATCCTTTTTCTCCAGGAATAATAGCGCTTGACCCTGAAACATTGGCCTCTGACCCCCCCTGCTCAGGGGAAGGATGTTAAAAGATCATGGTTTATTTTCTGAGTAGCTAAATAAAATAATTTTTAAAGTAGATGACCAATAAGTGCTCCTAGTGACATTGCTGCGCACGCACACACACACACACACACACACTCTCACACACTAATTTAGGCCTTGTAGTCAGAAATGAAGAGGACTACAAGTTTCAGTCTCTGTTAAGTAATTAATTATCTGTATGACTTAAAAGAACTCATTTGCCTTTTCTAGACTTGAGTTACTGTGATGATAAAAATCAAAGCAAGATTGGACTTAATACACACTTATAGAAGGCCTGATATGACTCCAATTCTGGGGAGAGAGGAGTCAAACCCAAGCCCCACCTCTGGATCTAAGAGATGAGCTGAGGGATACTAACAACTACAAAGACAGGATTACAGTGACAGATGCCATGGCTGTGCTACTGAAGTTGCTGAGAAAACATGGACCGATTTGTTAAGTCAGGGAAGGTCTCCCAAAGGTGATACAGAATGAGACCTCAGCGATGAGCAGAGTTAACTACTTACAGGAGAATTATTTTATTTTAAGCAAATACATTTTTCTAAGCATTCTCTGGCTGGCACGTGAGCATGTTGTTCCCTTCTACAGCAGGGGAAACTGAGGCACAGTGAGGCTAAGTAACTTGCACAAAGTCACTAATAAATGATAGAGCCGGGATTGAAGGTGGGTGATCTGACACTTTAATCCATATGTATAACTATTGTTTTATTCAGAGGCCTAGAAAATAATGCTTATCCTTTCAATATTCTTTCACAGAGCTCCTGAACTGTCTTAGGGCACTCCAACACTATTATTCCTGGAAAAAAGCATTTCAAGGAAGAAAGTAGATACCTCCCCCGATTTTCCAGACAATATGCTTCATGTCTGGATGTCGGAAAGACTTTCAGGCAGAGCAGCAGCATGTACAAAGACAGGGAAACCTAGAAATGTAGGGAACATGCCAGAAATGGCAATATGGCTGGGAATAGGGGTTGTGTGGGTAGGGGCAGGAGATGAAACTGATGAAGGTGAGCAGGAACCTAGTAATGATGGTAAAGGAAATTGGACTTTATCCTGGTTGTGATGGGAATCACTGGGAGATTTAAAACAAGCATTGAGTTGCAATTAGTATGGAATGAACTATCCCAAAGTTTAGTGGCTTAACACACCATTTTGTTATGATCATAAATTCTGTGGATCGGGAAGCTGAGCAGACCACAGCTGAGGCATCTCTTCTTTGCTCAGTTGAAAGCAGAGGCACATAAATAAAACACAATCTGAGAAAAATGACTTCTGCTCCGTGCCCCTCAAGGGTGAGGAGAAGAATAAAACAGAGGAAGGATTTTGTAACTGCAAGCTGCACCTTTTCTCAGGAATGTGGATGGGAGAGCAGTGGCCACAGAATGGGACCCAACTGGCTGTTATTCCCAGGATGGAAACTGAGTGCCATGTGGAATAAAGGGGCGTGTGCACAAGTGCCTTTTGGTCTTGACGCTGCCCTGAATTCATGAAATGCCAGCTCTCCAAATAAAAGGGAATCCCTCCCTGAAGCTTGGAGAGAGGGTGATTGCTTTGTTTCTCAACATGAGTTCTATTTTCTCCATTGCTTGTCAGGTAACAAAACTGTTGGTCTGTTAAACCAAACCTGGTTTCTGAATTTTTGGCTTTCTGCCACTAGACAAAAGGAGGCTTGCCTTAAGGGCGTTCCTATGTCTGGAAGTTCAGTTCAGGAGACTCAAGTGGCAGCAGTTAAAACACTGGGACCTAGAGGATCCAGTTCTAAAATGATCCTTGACTCTGGTGCCTGGACTGGGGTAACTAATGCTAGCCCAGCTGGGACTACTGGCCACGCGCCTGCCTGGAGCCTCTCCACAGGCCTTTGCTTGTCCACAATGTGGCAGCTGGCAACTTTCTGAGAAGGGCCTTCCTGACAATGAGTGTTACAGGACCAGTGGAAGCTGCATGGACTTTCTGCCCCAACCTCAGAAGTAACAATGTCATTTCTGCTAGTTCTATTGGTTGACAAGGTCACAAACTTGACTTAGATTCAAATGGAGAACTCCGTGGCTCTCAAGGGAGCGATGGCAGAGAACTTGGATCCCACCTTGAAAGCCACCATAATGAGACATGTTTTGGGGTTGACCCCTCAGCCAACAGTGTGGACGGATGGAATGGAAGAACTAAAATTGGATCCTGTGGGAGAGGGTGCTTCCTGACCTACAAGACTTGGGAATGAGGAAGGGAGACTTCCCAAGTGAGAACTGGCTATTACTAGCAGACAAAGAGAAAAGGTTGAATTGGAGAGGTCCGTGGACATCCACAGAGCTGCAGGCACTGGTTCATTAAAATCACAGACATAAATAATTGCCTAGGTGGAAGTTGGAGAGCTAATCACTTTAAAGCATAGTAAAGTAATTTGGGCTGTAGATTTAGGAGCCATCAGCATAGAAATAGTAGTGAGAAAATAAAATCCAGCTGAGTATATTTTAAAGATTATATTGACATTCTTCAGCATGATTCATGAATAAGGGAACATTGCATCTAGCAGTTAGAAAGGAACTTGGAGAATTTCACAAAATGCCATGCTTTCATAGGCAGAAGGGGGAAAGCGTGAGGTGTTTCAGGCTGGGTTATAGTCCTTTAGAGGATGTGAGGGGTCCACAAGGTAGCATCACTGTTGCTAGTAGGGAAATTTCAGATGACTGGATTAAGATTACATTCCTGGGAGAGGCCGAAACTGCAATTAAGTATTAATTCCCAGTTTGGTGACAAAGGGCTTAGCACAAGTGACTCCATTTGGAGCCTGTTGTCTCTTTCTAATGGTAGTTAAGTGCAAATATGGAATAAGAAAAGTAAGGGCCCAGGAAAGTCTCTGGTAGGTACTGTAATTAAACAAAAAGGAAGAGTGTCTCCTTTTGCAAAGATTGGCAGTGGAGCATTGGCAGTAGAAAAAGACTTTATTTGATGATGAAACACTAGGAATATTTTATGGAAGCCAAAAGAAAACGATTTTAAGGAGGACACTGCTAGCCATGTCAAATATCTGAGTGAGGTTGAGTTGGACCCCAAAACTATCCTTTAGGTTTGGCAGTTAAGAGGTTCAGCTAACTGAAATCCCAGTTCAAAGATCTCACCCACTATGCCCATTTTCAAAAAAGTTGTTATCATATATTTTTTCATAATATTCTCCTATTATCTTTTTAACATCTGCAAAATCTACACTGATGTTTCCTCATTCAGTCCTCATGTTGTTCATTTCTGCATTTCCTCTTTTCTTGGTCACTCTTACAGGTGATTTCTACCATGTCTATTTGAGATTGGAAGTCTGGCTGATTTTTGATGGAAAGTTTAAGATCTAAGTTATTTTAAGTAGGAAGAGCCCTCCAAATAAAAGTTAAAAGTTTAACAAAAAAACTGATTTTTAGAGAGGGGGCGGAGCAACATGGCGGCGAGGAGACGCTGCGAGTAAGATCTCCCATTAAAAAAAGTGAATAGGGAGGAAAAGCGGCAGGTCCCAGTGAGAACTGGGACACGGAAGATAAACGGGTGACGCCAGCGAACTGCCCGAAGAAGAAACTGGCCATAAAAGAGGACTAGAAGGGAGGGAAGCGCAGAACCCTGCTCCCCTCCCCCGCCCACAGAGGCGGCACTCTCCGACCTGCCGGCAGAGAGGAGGAAACAACAAACCAAAACGGCCAACAAGAACAAACGACATAGCAAGCGGGACCGTGAGTGGAAAGGAACTATTGCAGC